TTTGTTTATACCACAACCCGCAAAAGGTTTGTAATTTTAACATGTAGGTATTTCAAATTAAGCTGATCAATACCACTGCTTTAAGCCAATCAAATTGCAGAAATTTCTCATGTAGTTGTATAAATGGTAAAAAGGAGTGCCCTCGTTCCGCGGCTTAGCCGCTCACCCCTCATGCATGCGCTCGACCTACTGTGACTCAAAGGTGAAATAAGAGTCAGCTCGCAGTCTCCATCGTGGTGAGTTCCGCAAGCCACTAACTGAGTTTTCTTTGATTTCACAATGTTTCAGATTACGAAGAAAAAAGAAGAATATCCTAAAACAGTATAAGCAGGTTATCAATCAATCCCTTCTCGGCTGATTTTAATCACAGTTATAAATTAACTTACTAGCTAAAGAACATACCTCATCGTAACGTAATATAACTGACAGGTTTTTCTGAAGGATGACCTGGGGCCTGGGATCTAATGTGCTGCCTATTATATTACTTAGTGTGAAGTTCATGATAGTTTTACTGTTAGAAAAAAATTGAACAGAGAATTTATAAGTACAATGTTGTAGACATCTCTCTTCAAAATTTCAGTGTAAAGACTTTTAAAGGCAGCGTCTGAAAAAATGGTCATACACGTCTCCCTTAAAATTTTCCTCGTTAACAAATTATCTACCCACTCTGGAAAACACATTAGAGCTGTTTACCATTTACAAAAAGATTCCGGAAAATTCTCTTGAAAAGTAAATGGAACACGACTTTTTGGGTCGTTCCAGCGTAAAATTTCCGGGAGCAACGGAACATCTGAAAGGGTAGTCTTGTTTTTCCCGACGGAATATTTCAAACAGAAATTCGTGTTCCATTCTTCAAAGCCATCTTTGATACCAGTTTCAGGCCTTCGCGGTCGTTTTCCATTAATGGAACTGATTCGTACAATGATTAAACGCGAATCCGGGGCGGATTTCCAAGCCCTGAATTTTGCGTACCATTTGCCTAAACCGTGGACTGACCGGTTTGCCCATGTAAATGGAAAACAACCTATAACACAACGGTTTATTAGACTTTTTTTTCCTGAGTGATTGCTTTGTACGGAGTTGGAGCAAAATTTTTATTTATTCCTCTTTGGAGTCTCTCAACCCTTAACGAATTTGTCCTTTTTAGAGTTAAACTAGAAATACGTTTATCACAACACCTCGCGAAGCCGTAAAGGGCCAGCAGTATGCATGAAAAAAGGAAAACATGCCAATAGGTAAAAGATATAGTTAAAAAGTAAAAACAAAACGGCCAAAAAGGGGGAAAAAATGAAAGAAAAAAATTGACTTAGAGGAGAGTTGAACCCTGTCCACCTACATGCAAAGTCGTCTCATAGACTACTACGACACATCGTCAAACTTCAATTGGACAGGTCAAACTATTGTCAGTCTTTAAAGCTTTTTCCCGCGAAATTCTGGTGGTAGACGCTGTTGGTAGTGTCGGAGCTGGATTAATCAATAATTCGAAGGTGTATTTCAGGAAAATAAGCAGTGTTTCGTCGTTAACCCTATTCAGACTGGGCTTTTTTGGTCAATCTGTGACTTGGGGGGGGGGGGCTCCTCGGACCCCCCCTCTGTATCTCTGGAACCAATAACGCTAGGGTCATGAAATTTACACACAATGATCATCTCCGTACAAAGAAGCCCCACACCCAGTTTTGACTTGCCACGCCCAATGATGACGTCACAGTGACGTCATATTCCGATTTTTCAATGTTTCTTATTATTTTTCCACTTAGATACGTAAAATATCAATAATATTGGTAAAGTCATCTCTTTGTTATCCTTTCTTATGAACTAGTAACAAGGAAACACTTGTACAGCGAGAAAAAGCAATAGGAAGCAATAAAATTTAAAATTTGAAATGGTCGTCCGCCATCTTGGATCCGCCATCTTGGATCCCCCATCTTGGATTTCCGTTTTTTTGTTAAAATTATAATTTAAAGCAACTTTCAAAGGGGAAAAAGCTCAAAATGTATAAAAGAAGTCTCAAACTAATGTTTATTACCCAAAAAAATGACTTTGGAAGTGTTATTTGGAAAATAGAGTAGTATATTTGTCAAAGCAAAAAAGTGACAAATTTTACCCCACCCCTCCCCCGAAATATTCGATGTTGAAACATTTTGATGTAATTCAAAAACTAGTCCCAAGCAAAGACCATTTTAACAACAAAAAGCACTATAAGTGTAAAAACGCGATCTTAAAACAAAAAAATCACCATTTTTTAAATTTTCTAAGACCTATGTGTCAGAAACTGGTTGCCATGGCAACATGATTAATCACATGGACATGGTAATTATACCAAAATGTTCCTAGATAAATTTTAGGAAAAGTCAGAAAATTTGAACGTCATAGCTCTTTCGGTGTAGGAGTTA